ACTAAACTTTCAATTATCTCGTGTGTTTTCATATCTCATGAAATAGTTGATTAATTTTTATTTACTTAAATATCTCGGATGTCAGTTAAATCACCAGCTCTATTCCAGACGCTATTTACTTTCACAATTTCCTTTTTCTAACATTAAAAGAAAAATTAATTTTAGAGCAAAAACTACTTCACCAAATCTTTATCAATTTCAAAGAGTTTTTTTGAAATAAAAGATATTCAATATTTCGTTAACAAAATTCTACGAATTTCTAACTGTCTTGTTGGAAGGAAATTCATGGAAACCCCTGGCAGAAATGTAATAATTGTAAATATTTATTGTAATCCATCATAAAATATCGCTATCAGTAATGTGTTATTAAAACAGAATTTAACACATTCATCTAAATGCTATAAAGAAGAACCAATAATTCTTGGGGGTGCTAAGACATAAAACGATTCACTTAATAGTTAAAAATAAAATAATTAGAAACACCAATATAGCTGTCAACACTCCAATGGCTACCCATTGTCTCCGATCTAAAACAAACGGAAAGTAACATCACATGTGTCACTCATAAAAAAAGTTGTTAGAATCACATGATTTTATTGGCGTTCGTTGAACGACGATAAAATTTGAATGAGCAAATTACATATCGTAGTGGAAAAAAAACAGTTTTATATATTTGGCCCTTCTTCAAACAGTAAACATTGTACATTACTTTTGACATGCACACTTTCAACAAACATGTTTTAACAACTCCAAAACTTCTGCATTGATACTTTGCACTCAAACAATGTTTTCTATAGATCGAATATTTTTGAGTTACAACTAAAAATAATTTATCCTTCAAATTTTCAAACAAAGGCAAACTTTAGAGTGCAGAGAATCAACACTTTAAATAATTTGACTATATCAAATGAATATATTCGTATATTAAAATAACACGATCACAAAAGCTTAAAAAATAATAGTTATATATAGATACATAGGTATATGTATATATATTGATATGCATTAAACTGCAGACGTATGAATATTACTTTCACACAAATAGATATAAGCCAAAATTTAAAAAAATAACAAAATTTATAAACGCGCATTCACAAAAATGTTCCAAATGGAAAAATTACATTCCATGATTGAGAGAATTTCTATTAGAAATTAACGTAAATGAAACACAAATAATACAGTACA